GATGTGTATCTTCAAAAATTGAACTCGTAATGTCTGCGGCTCTTTAAGGAGACCGACGATGGCGCGCGTCACCCGCGAGCGCGCGGGGGATTTATGTATTGTCCACAATAGAAAAGCCGACGTGGCATTCCAACAACTGACCTCACACTTTCTGCGGCTCTTTACGGAGGCCGACGGTGACGCGTGTCACCCGCGAGCGCGTTGGGGAATTATTCATTGACCACAATAGGAAAGTCAGCATGCAATTCCAAACACTGAACTCAAAAGTTCTGCGGCTGATTAGGGGGGCCGACGGTGACGCGTGTCACCCGCGAGCGCGTTGGGGACATGTGCATTGTTTACAGTAGGCAAGTCGACATGCTTTTTCTAAGAACTGAACTCAGAATTCCTGTGGCCCTTTAGCGAGGCCGACGGGCGTTGGGGAGTTCTGGATTGTCCACAGTTGAACAGTCTGTGCTAAAATGAACCCTTGTCGTCTTCGTCCTCGTTGTGGTCGTCGTCCTCGTCGTCGTCATCGCCGTCGTCGTCGGTGCCGTGAAACGCCCCACTTAGGAGGGGGGAGAAGGGAGAAAGGAGGAACTGGCAGGGTGGATGGGGGGATGGGGAGGAGCGGACGGGAAGAGGGCGGAGGAGGGGGAGGTAGACGGGATAAGGAAATTCAGAAGTGGGGGCAGGAGATTGGCGTAAAGAGGTAAGCAATTGGAGCGCAGGGAGGGATGGCAATGCGGGAGAGGCGCAGGCAGGCCAGACGCATTTGAATCCGCAGCCGTTGAAGGTCTGCCTCCCTGCGCGCCCCGCCGCCTCCGCGACGGGAGCGGCCATGGGCGTGGGCCGGCAAGGCGCGACTCGAACCGCGCGGGGGCCCCTGCCGCGGCCTCCGCAGCAGCGGGGGCCGCCACAGGGGGCCCCTGCAGCACTTCCGCTGCCCCTGGCTTCCGAGGCAGCGGGGGCCCCCGGAGCGGCGGCGCAGGGCCCCCCGCAGGACTCTGCGACACCGGCCTCCTCAGCAGCGGCCTCCGCAGCAGCGGGGGTTGGGGCTGCGACGGATGCTGAGGCGCTCCTCTCGGCGAGGAGCGCTGTCCAAACGCGCGTTTCCGGGCTCCGGGGGTTGCGAACAAACTGATGGACAAAGGCCACGTCGATCAGGCGCGGAAGTTGACGGTCGCCGCGAACGACGCGATCATCGGAACGGCTGCGTTCCAGGCGGCGCGCAGCAAGGCGTCGGCGCCAGGCGACAGCGCACCGCGCCCTCCGCAGACGGCTTCCGAAGCAGCGGGGGCGCGCGTGGAGCCAGCCGCCGCGCGCCACGACACAGCGGTTATCTAGCCTGGACAGGGCGCACCCCGCGCCGAGGACCCGAGACCAAAGCCCGCCTCAGGGAGCCAGGGTGCGGCGGAAGGTGGTCCCAGCATGGCGAATTGCAGCGAACGGCAGCTTTTTTCCGCAGCAGACGCACAGTGGGACATGCGAGCGCACGGGCGCGAGAGCTCCCCCGCAGCAGCGGGGGGCCGCGCAGCGGGGGGCCGCGCGAGACCGGCGCTGGCCATGGCTAGCAAGGCGCGAGCGCCAGCGCTTCCTGACCAGCCACGCCGACGAGGACGCCCCTTGTCCGCGGGGAAGGCCGCCCGCACTTCCCAGAGGAAAAGCGCGGCCCGAGCCGCCCCAAGCCTCTTGTGCAGATGCTTTACGACGAGGCAGACCAGATGCGCAGTGGGCAAACCGAGGCGCGCGTGAACTTGAGTTTTGCTTCCCTCGTCCTGGGCGCGGGCGCTGCCCTTGAGGATTGGGTCCGAGCGGCCAGTGAAAGGCAGAGAACTCGCCGTTCTTCGCCCGGGGATTGTAGGCCCCCTTCCGCCAGCCCAGGCCCGGCACAAGAACTTCCCGTGGGAGTGCATGCCGAGGCCCTCGCATTTCTCGACGCGGACGGGGTTCTAGAGGAGTGTTCCGACGCACTCCTCCGCGATCGTGCCATAGAAACCGCTCTGGCGGATCAGCTCGTCGAGCCGTCGCTTCCGCTGGTCGCGTTTGACGTCGCCCCCTCCCCCCCTTGGCTCGGGCGCCGTGCTAAGCCCGTGCGCCCCCTCCCCTAAGGCGCGCGGAAGGCCCAGCAGCTGCCCCCCCCGCAATGACCCGATGGGACTTGCGATGTAAGGTAGCGAGCCTCTCGTACGGGGCCACCCCGGAGCTCGGCCCATGAGCTTCGGGGCATGCCCCCGGCCGGCCCTGGTGAGAAAACAGGGCCGTAGCACGACCAAGCGCAGGGGATTTCGGCAATAGCGCGTAGATCACCCGTGTAGGTGTTCTGACGTTACCCCCTCATGCGGATATCCTTGTGCCCTCTTCATCCTCCTCCTCCGGAGATTCACGCAGTCTTTCCCAAGGAGTGGTGCCGTCGGCCCACCCCCGCCGTCCAACAGTTTCAGGGTGCACGGGGGAGAGCCTAAATACGTGGAGCATGGGCAGGCCCCGTGGCCTTGTGAGGGGGGCCCCTGGGAGTCGCGGGAGGACGAGGATCGGAGACGACACGAGGATGAACACTTTCCCCGTCTCTTAGGGGCCAGCGTGCTCCGCAGCGCGCCCGTCGCCCACTCCTGGGCCGTCTCTGGGCGACGGCGGCTGGTTCTGACTCTGCCCCAGGCGCTCCAGACGATCTGTGGGCCTTGTGGGTTAACGATTGTGGAAAAGACGGAGGAAGGATGGATGGAGGGATGGAGGGAGGGGTGCAGGCCGAATGTCTGATGATCGCGCCCAGGAGGGGTGCATGGGGCCGATTCTGATGCGATGCCGACCTTGTGTGCCAACCTTCTCGTAGTGGTCATTCCTCATATTATTGCTCGGAAGCGCGTTTCAGGCACGCTTGGCGTTCTTCCGCGCGTTGCTTTGGGACTCCTCTGTAGTCGTCTCTCCTCCTCCTCCTCCTCCTCCTCCTCGTCTTCCTCCTCTTCTAATTCCTCGTTTTCGTTCTCCTCCTGCAGAAATCCGACTGTTTGACGCGCGTGTGGACCATCTGGCGCGTGCCGCACTGGTCTAGGGCCACACAGTTGCACATTCAGCCGTCAAAGGGGCCTGATCCACGCCTCCTCGCGCCGATTTTTTTCCTGGGGCGGCGGCCTGCATGGTAGAGGCTGCCGGCAAGGGCGTATTCGGCACATGTTATATCAGCCGACTTGTATGGAGGGTGCGTCATGTGCAGGACGAGCTGGTGCTTCAGCAAGGGTTGCGGCACATGGAAACGCGCGTGTGTTCCCCCGTTGCTTGTGCTACGCTGAAGAAGTATCATCATTCCCCTCCTGTTCTCTTTAAACTGCACGTGCTGCTCCCCACCCACGGGCGCTCTTCTCCACAATAAGAAGCGACGTACCCTTCCATCGCACCCTCTTATCCCAGTGTTCTCCTGCCACCTCTCGCTTGCTCACCGCGTTTTTCCTATGCTCTCTGGGTTCTCCCTCATCGTCGTCATTCTTATTAATCGTATTATTATTATTATTGTCATGTCGTCCCGCATGCGTCAGGGCAGCTCTCACCGTGACTGCACGCGGCTCGGCGTTCATGGAAGATGCGGCACCATAGGGGGAACACGCCTCCGCACTGTGGCTGGCTGCATGGCTAGCTGTCCACCATAATTTTCTGTCCATAGTGGATGTGCAGCTCGCATCAGGCACTCATAGACACACACACACACACAAATCAATTGAACCTTCACCGGCCCCAAGTACATCTGAGCCATTTTGCACAGCAGGTGTCTTGACACTTGCGTAAGCTGAGTCATCATCATCATCACCAGCACTGACCCCCCCAGCCACTTCATCACTTCCATCTTGGCCAGACCTGACCTCCATGGGCCGCTCGGTCCGTGTGTTCACAGTCGGGTTTCACCGATCCTGGGACCCCGCGGGACGCCTGGCCAGGGTCGGGACTTGGCGCGCCCCCCCGGTAAGGGTGACATCTAAGACTACGTGGCTTGATTTTTTCTTCGGACATGTTTGAGCTTATCGTCCTCTCGCATCTGGTGAACGGTGGCGGTGTTGAGATGAGGGAGAGAACAAGAGCAGGAGGACGAGGAATGAGGAATAGTGAAGACGGGCAGGTCGTGAGTTAGTAATGGGTTCAGTCATCGATGTCTGAATTCGCTTTTCACGAAACACGCCTTGCCCTTACATAGGAGTCCATGGGAACACGTTCAACTTGAAAGCAACATGACATCGTACGCAAGAGAACGAATGAATGCAAACACGAAAAATCAATCAAAATACATACCATGAAGGACAAACATAATACATCCTGGGTCCACGAACCTTGTGAGGGTACCAGACACAACTAAACGACAACTGCACATACAAAACAGTTGTGACTTTTCCTAAACAACTAAGCATCAAAGGTTTTTGGGCCTTCAGGCTGCGTGGGCGGATCTGGGCACAATGAAAATCAATCGTGACTACAAAACATAGGAAAACAGTGATAACACGTCAACCTTCTGACAGTACCGCTAAAACAAATCAATACTACACAAACCTCTGAGGGTACAACACGTGTGAGCCAGCGTGGACATCAAACAGTAATTTCTTGCAATGCGTGCCGTGCCATCTGGTGAAATCTACGTGGCGCAAGCTAGCTTGTGCAATACATGCAGCGGAATGTTTGTAGCGTAAATGAATGTGAAACGATGCACGGCGATGCACTGCAATGCAGCGCAAACCAATGCAGAACAATTCGATGAAATGTAAAGCAATGCGAAGCAATGCAACGCAATGCGAAGCAATGTAACGCAATGCTGAGCACTGTAAGACGATGCAAAGCAAGGCACTGCAGGGACTGTAGAGCAACGCGACGCAATGCAACGCAATGTACTGCGGCCCAAGGCAATGCAGCGCAAGACAGAGCAACGCAATGCGAATCATGGCAACGCAATATAACACAGTGCAATGCGATGCAAAGGAATGCGAAGCAGTGCAAAGCAACGCACTGCAATTCAAAGCAATGCATGGAAGTGATTCGCGGTCATGAGTAGCGATTGTCTCACCGCCCATTTGCTCTCAAGCTTTTTCCGCACCGACAGGCGGTATATGGCCTACGGTGCTGGCGTACTCTTCGGCCGAACGCCCCAGTGGGGCGCCAGAGTTGTTGGCCAGGCGCTGGGCACCTGGCTCGGCGGCCGCTACACCCAGGGTTGCGCGTGCAAATTCGAAGGGTGCGGCCTTGACGTGGGGTTCGTCTCGCTCCTACAGTGCCAACTCCATTGGTGTGGGCCAGAGAACCAGCGACCCCTCGGCAGTTTAGAAGGTGTTGGGATCCTCTTCTGGCTATATTTCATCACGGTGTTATTGCTCTGCGCCGTTGTTGGCGGCACCATTCGTGAGCCGAATCTCACCCCAAACTCGACGCCTAGACGCCTGGAGCCCTTTGCTCTTTCCTGCGATCAGTCTGCCCCCGAGGACGAACCATCGGTCGAGTGTCCTCGCCCAGCTGACGAATGGAACCGCTTCGGTCGGCCGCCGAGTGTTCGCTTACTACGATCGGGGCGATGACTACTGGCACGAATGGTCTTTGTTTGAATACCTTTGTACACGGAGATGGGTCATCTCGACCCCACATTTCGACATAACGAATGTGTATATATACACATATGCCTTTACATCTCTATACATATATATATATATATATATATACACATATAAATTCAAAACGCTGGTTTTGAGGATGGGGGGGCCTCACGGCGGGATCGGGCGTCCGTTTGGAGGTCGGATCTTGAGGATTGATATGGGTGAGCTCGAGCAGCGTTGCCTTCTCTCGAGAGGGGCGCCCAGCGGCTTGCAGCGCATCTCGAACGTGATACGCGTCTGGCTGCGGTCGTTGATTATGACGCTGCTGCGCCAGATCCCCCGCTGCCCCCGCCGCTTGAACCCCGGCTGGGCGAGGCCAGGGCAGGCAGCGCAGGCGGTGGGCCAGAGCAGCCGCTGGGTGAGTCGGCCGTCGTCGAGCTGCGGGCAGGCAGCCATCCCGTCTGTGAGACTGTTATCGGTGGAGGGCGATCTGGCCCTCCTTGTCTTGACCGACGTCACGATGCTCGCAGTTGGTAAGCCAGGCTCAGTTTGTCTTCCCACCCCGCATGCTGCTCAGGGTGATCTGCGGACGCTGGCCATCAAGACAGATGCGGCTGGCGACCAGATTGGGCCCTTCAGCGAAAAGGTCAATAATATGGCGCAGCAGTCGGTTGCTGGGTGGCCCATGAGGGGCTCCAGAACGTTCTCTGGCTTATTGCAGTTGTGCGTGAAGCTAGGCCGGTCTCCTTTCAACGCCACCACTGGTGTCGACAGGCGCAGCAGCTCGCGGCGGAAGATTTTTGGAGTCGACTAGCACGCGTTCCTGGGCGAGGTGCTCGAGGTCGGGTGCCCAGTCGAGCAGGTGTGCCGTCCCAATTTTGTTTTTGCGCAGATGGTGCGAACGCGGCATCATTGGCGGGAAGCGGTGCACGGTGCCTTGCCTCGCGGGGCCGAGGGCGGCGGCGGCGGAGGCAGCAGCGCCTGGCTGGATGAGCGCGAGATCCTTCTTGGTCAGCAGCGCGGCAGGTGCTCCGCCCTGGCGCCCCCGTATCTGAAGGAGTGGGTTGCCGAGCGTCTGCGCGAGGATGCGGCCGCCTTGAAGGAGCGGATGAAGGGGCGCGAGGGGGAACTTCTCGCGTCCGGTGCGGCGCCGATCTCGCTTGCAGGAGCTGGCGCGATCGCGGCTGGCGGAGGCGCAGTCGCAGGGGCGCGGTCGAAGGCCCAGTCGAAGGCCGAAGACAAATCCAAGGCCGACCAGCGGCCTCAAGGCGGGGCGGGGCGAGCCCGCCTGTCCCGTCGGTGTTGCGCAGGTGCCAGGGGCCCTTCGACCTGTCGCTTTTCTCTCTGGGGAGGCGCCCGTGGTCCGCCCGGCGTTGCATGTTTGGTCATGGTCGAGCTTGGCGCGTCGCGTGGCCTCTTGCCGATCCCGCTCGGCGTTGGCCTGGGCGACGTGTTGCGCGGCGCTGATTCGCTCGGGGTGTCTGCTGCCCCAACCAGGCGAGGGGCCCGAAGGACTTGGCATACTCTATGCTTACGTGATGGCTTAGAACGTTTGAACGCGCGGGGAGGGCAGGGTCGCGCAGTCGGTCGCGACGCGGTGCTCGCGGGGGCCACTGCGCTGCCGTTCGCAGCCTTGCTGGGCTACGTTGTCCAGCAAGCTTTCCAGATCTGCACCGTGATGGTCATGCCCCGTGGCGGACTTTGCAAGGGCCCCGACCCAGATGTAGCGAATGCGAGTCGGAGGGTGGCATGGTAGCGCACCGGCGGTGCAGGTCAGGTAGAGCAAGCTTCCATTTTGCCGGAACCGCTTCCATTTTGCCAGAACCGATTCGTGACGTGCCGTAGACTGGCCACGCTTTACAGCGACATATCGAGTTGCTGATCTACAGCTTGCTGAGGGCGACTACGCGGAGCGCGCCAGTCCCGAGGCCCCCGCGGCCATCGGATGCCGCGGCGAGTGGGGGGGGGGCTTCTGCGCTGGAGAGGTGGGGGCGTGCTTCCATCGATGCGAGCTACCAGAATGGCTTCGGATCTATTCAACCTTGCCACCTGTGGGGTGCTACAAACCCCCCGCTGCTCCTCGTCGGCGCCTCCGCCCGGTCATCTGGGGCCCGCTTCAGGTTCGGGGTCGCGCCCGCGGGCTGAAGCTAAGTTGCCCGCTGGATCCTGCGAGGGCATCTCCATCTTTCGGACCCTGCATTGGCCAGCGGGCGCTGGCCTCTCGGCAGGCGCCCCTGAGTCGACCCTTCCCGGGAGCCCGCGCAGCTCGCGGGGGGCGGCCTTGGAAAAGCTGGGGGCGGCGGGCGCCGCCGAGGCCGCGAACGGCGCCAGGGGGGAGCTGCCGGGGCGCGAGCTGGACTTGCCCGCTGACCGCTGGCGAGCGTGGCCTAAGCGTCTGCGAGGGCCCGAGGGTGCCTTGGGCTATTAGTTCGGCGCCAGGGGCGCGAAGGTCCTCTGGCCGCGGGATGGGGCGCGCGCTGGGCCGCGTTGTCGCCGCTTGCACGATCGGGCGAGAGACGCTGGCCACGCTGTCCGCTCATGTTTCGCGGGGGCGTCCAGAGACGAGTGTTAACCGCTCTGGCCAAGCGTGTGGGCACGGTCTCCGATGCCTTGCATCCCCGGCACCATGCGTCGAGAGTGGCCCCCGCCATCGCGGCCTACGTTGCGCCCCAATTCAGGTTGCGGCGTCGCCGAGACGGAGCGGGCCGCCAATGGTGCCCCCGCGCGCGGGCGCGCCTCCGAGTGGGGCCGCCTTCGGAGGCCGCGGGCAGCGGGCGGGGCGCCTCGTGGCCGCGCGCCGGAGGGCGTTGAGGCCCAGTAAGTCGACCCCACCGCAAGCAGGTTTCGCTTTGTGCGACGCGCGCGCGTCGTCCGTGCGCCGGCCCAAGTTTGCGTCTCTGTCCGCTATCTCGGCCCCCGAGGGCGCGCGGGCGACATGTGGCGCGACGTCGGAATTCCGTTGGCCGCGCTTTGTTTTCCGGCGCTGGTTCAACGACGCGCGGCTTTGCATGCGAGACGCAGTCTAGTTCGATCGTTCATCGCTGCGCTGCGTTCCCCGTCCGCGCGCAAATTCACGCGTGGCTCGTTGGTGCGGGGTGCGCCGGCTTGTTTTGGGATGTGGGCGTGTCGCGTTAACGGGGGGTTCTCTCGCCCGCTCATCAGGCTGCCGTTTCCCTTCCCTCCGCCTCTCTCTCGCCTCCTCTTCCGCTCGCTTGCCTTCTTCGCTCCTGCCTCTCCCCTTCCTTGTCCTCTCAGCTGAGCCCCTGTCGGCGCTTTCTCCATCGCCCCCCCGTCGCGCGCCCTCGCCCCCCCCCCCCCCCCCCCCCCCCCCCCACGCTTCGCGCAATTGTGGCCGCGATTTTGCTCGCAGGACTGAATTGCGAAGATGGGCTCTGGCGTTTCCGCGCCGCGCGTCGCCGCGCGCGCGCGTCCGAGCGCCTCGCTGCCGCCGCGGTTCTGGGCGCTCTGGCCTGCGTTATTTTTGGGGTCACGCGATGATGTTTCCGCGGCGCCAAGAGTCCATTGAGGCCACCGCGAGACTCGCGCCCGGCGCGCGCGACCGCGCGACCCGCGAAGCGCGCTCGCGACGCGCGCGCGCGCGCGTCGCGCCCCCCGGCCAGCGCGCGACGCGCCCCAGCTCCGGCGCGCGACGCGCGCGCGAGTCGGCGCGCCGCAGCTGCGCCCGAAGCTCCGAGATGCATCGGCGTCCTGCGCGCCACGCTTGCGCGGGCGTTTCGACGCGGCGGTCGCGCCTTCATCTGCGCGGGGGGCGACTCTCTCGCAACTTCATCCGCCCCCCCCCCCCCCCTCTGTTCCCCCCCCCGAGAGATGCGCTTTGAGTGAAGCTGCAGGCTGCGCGCTCCGTCTCCGCCCCCCTTCATTCTTCTCATTATCCCCCCTCTCAGCAGCGAGTTCTTCGCGCGCGAACATTTCTTGAAATGGCGGCGCTGCGCGGCGCGAGTGGCTCGCGCGGGGCGGCGCTCGGTGGCGCCATGCGCGCGTGGGGCGGCTGGTTTCTGTAACTCGCGTTGTGGGTGGGCGCCTGCGGGGGCCAGTCCTTGCGCCGATCGGCCTCCTCCGCGGTCCGTTTTTCGTCGGTCTACGGCGCTATTTGCGAGTTGGCCAGCTCCTTGTCGCTGTCGCTCGTTGCCTCGCGCGCTTGCGTCGTGGGCGTCGACATCTTCGCTGCCGCTCGGCTTGCAACGCGCCTGCGACCCGCTCGCCAGCTCTTTTCGCGAGGGAATTCGCTTGGTTGCTGCCCGCCGAGCTGGCGACCCATTCGTCGAGGGGGTGCCCTGCGAGGTCGGTTTGCGCACCCTCTGAGGCGACTCGCCTCTGGGGAAGCCGTTGAGCGGGCGCGCGCGAGCGGGCCGCCTCGCGGGCGCCCGCCAAGCTGGCCACGCGCTCGCCAACTAATCTCCTTGCAAGGGGGCGCGCGCCTTCGCGCGGGCGGCCTGCCTCCCCGGCGGCCGACGCGCGGGCGACGCGCGCGCGCGCGACGTGCCCCGCGCGGCGAAGGGGGGGGCGGCCAGCGCGCCGGGCGATGTGTTGGTTCCTAACGCTGGAGGCCGAGATCGCTCGAGCATCAGACGCTGCCCTCGCCTTGGCCGGCCGCGTCTCGGACTT